TATATATATATATATATATATATATATATATATATATATATATATATATATATATATATATATATATATATGTATATATAAATAAATAAATAAATATATATATATATATATATATATATATATATATATATATATATATATATATATATATATATATACATATATATATATATATATATATATATATATATATATATATTATATATATATATATAATTTTGTATTTATATATGATTATATATATATATATATATATATATATATATATATATATATATATATATATATATATATGTATATATATATATATATATATATATATATATATATATATATATATATATAATTTTGTATTTATATATGATTATATATATATTTATATATATATATATATATATATATATATATATATATATATATATATATATATATATGTATATATATGTATATATATATATATATATATATATATATATATATATATATATATATATATATATATATATATATATGTATATATATATATATATATATATATATATATATATATATATATATATAAATTTTCATATAAATATACGTGTGTGTGTGGGGGGGGTTACATATATATATATATATATATATATATATATATATATATATATATATATATATATATATATATACATATATATATATATATAGATAGATAGATAGATAGATAGATAGATAGATAGATAGATAGATAGATAGATAGAGAGAGAGAGAGAGAGAGAGATAGATAGATAGATAGATAGATAGATAGATAGATAGATAGATAGATAGAGAGAGAGAGAGAGAGAGAGAGAGATAGATAGATAGATAGATAGATAGATAGATAGATATAGATATAGGTATATATATAGACACAGATATAAACAGAAAAATAGATACATATATATAGATATAGATAAACAGACAAACAGAATTATAAATAAAACCGAGAGAGACTTCATGTACACGCAGAGAAGACTTCTTTATTGTCGAGTGGAGTGCATTTTATGAGCAACGGTGCAACATGTTTGGAATAAACTAAATATTGCAGCTCTGGCTCGCGTGGAATTTGTGTTGTGGAGAAGAAATAGAATTATATATTTTTTTTCTTCTTTCTTATTCATTTTTTCGATTTTTATTTTCTTTTTTTTGCGGCCAGTGTCTAGTAACTATGTTTATTGAAGGAAGGAAAATTACTGAGAATAATGATGATGATGATGATGATGATGATGATGATGATGATGATGATGATGATGATGATGATGATGATGATGATGATGAAGGTGATGATGATGATGATGATGATGATGATGATGAAGGTGATGATGATAATGATGATGATGATGATGAAGGTGATGATGATAATGATGATGATGATGATGAAAGTGATGATGATAATGATGATGATGATGATGATAATAATGGTGATGATGATGATGATGAAGGTGATGATGGTGGGGATGATGATCGTAATAATAGTTATAGAACTAATAAGGACGATTATAATAATAATAATAATAAAGGTAGTGATAACAATAGTGACAACGATAACAATAATAATGATATTATAATAATGTTGATGATATAATAGCAGAAGTGGTTATACTAATAATACCAGTGATAATAAAAGTAAAAATTTATGATAATAATAGTAATAATGATGACGATAATAATGATAGTAATAATAATGATAACAATGATAATGATAATAATAATAATAATAATAATAATAATAATAATAATAATAATAATAATAATAATAATAATAATAATAATAATAATAATAATAATAATAACAATAATAATAATAATAATAATAATAATAATAATAATAATAATAATAATAATAATAATAATAATAATAATAACAACAATAATAATAATAATAATAATAATAATAATAATAATAATAATAATAATAATAATAATAATAATAATAATAATAATAATAATGATAATAATAACAACAACAAAAACAATAATAATGATTATGATAATAATAATAATAATAATAATAATAATAATGATAATAATAATAATAATAATAATAATAATAATAATAATAGTATTAGTAGTAGTAATGATTATAATAATAATAATAATATTAATAATAATGATAATAATAATAATAATAATAATAATAATAATAATAATAATAATAATAATAATAATAATAATAATAATAATAATAATAATAATAATAATAATAATAAAATAATAATGATAATAATAATAATAATAATAATAATAATAATAATAATAATAACAGTGATGATAATGATAATGATAATAATCATAATGATAATGATAACAGTATTGATAATAATAATTATGATAATGATAATAACAGTGATAGTAATAATAAAAATAATGAAAATAATAATAATAGTATAATACTAATAATATCAATAATATAATGATAATAATAATGATGCAAATGATTGTGATAAAGATAATTATAATAATAGTAATAATAATTGTAATAAGAAAATAATGGAAAAATGACAAAGATAATAGTGATAATGATGATGATGGTAATAATGATAACAATATATATAATATATATATATATATATATATAT